TACGATAATTATCGTACACCTGGCAACACTGCTCCCGCGTCTTTAAGGAGCAACCTTCATTTCCGGAATGCAATAGTCCCATTTCCATATAAGGTATGGCACCGACGGAAAGGTCTGTCACCGCCCCCGAGCTGCATGCTGCAGCGAAGTGTACCTCAAGTGACACGCATATGAACAAAATGAGTGACAGCTTTTACAGTCAGCTGTTAACATTAATGTTGATCAATAACATTTAAAGACTTAAATTAGTGCTTCTAAATTTAGCCTATACGTTTAGAAAGTGCTAATCCACTAATAAATTTTAAAATTAGCAAAAGCCCTAAAGCACTAATCAGGAAATTGGTTCCCCTGTTAGTGCTTTAGGGGAACTGTGCCCACCACTGATTACAGTGTATGTTACATTTAATTTTATAATTTACAATTTTACAGAAGTAAACAATTCAATAAATRATCAGAGATCATAACCCCCCAATGGTAGACCTAAAGTTACGCCCTTGATATACTAAAATGCTTGCCATAACAACAGTTTGCTTCTTGTGGTTTTAGAGGCTGTAGTACCACTTCTCCGACGTTAGATGGCGATAATGACTGAGCTGCTTCTAATTCACCGTCTGTAAAATTACACACGAAGAAGCCGAAAATCAACACAGCRGCGCTCGCAGCTTACCTTCCCACGTGAATAAACATTCCTTTTTAATTTCATTTTATTTTAATGAGTTATGGTGCAAAAAATACCCTTTCTTGAATTCATACAACGTAATGTGCGCTGCTCGATGCTAACGGCTAGTTTGTGAGGGCGAAGCTAAGCTAACTAGGAGCTTCGTCAAGCTTGTGTTTGTGGGTGTGTTGCTCAGTTGTGTAGCTTTATGTAAGATCGTTAGCAGACTGTTTACGCTGTCTATCTTAATCATTTATTTTCACGTTGCTTTTCTTTTAAAGTGGTGCAGCTTTAAAAGAAGAAAAAAATACTGGGAAGATGGACACAAGAGCCTTAAGGAACCCGTATCATGACTATGATGGAACACAGGCATTGTTTGACGCTCAGGGGAAGGTAAACTGTTGGACAGTTGCGCTGTGCTTGTGTTGCAGGTCATTATTTAGTTGTTGTTGTTTTTTTCTCCACAATCTTCCTCCTCAGATCATTCCAGAGTTTGCCCAGAGGCTGAGCAGGAAAATCAGCGAGCTGTTAGCTGTCATGGAAAATGGGTTGAAGTCTGCTGATCCCAGAGACTGCAGTGCTTACACAGGCTGGACAGGTGATTTAACATGATGAGTAAATCACAACATTTACGTGGTAAAACGCCAGTGCGTGCGTTTGCTTTAAGCTGCTTTCCTTTGCGTTTGATTTCTTACGATATTGAAAGTAATAGTCTCTTTTCACAACAGTGGACTTTTGACTCAAAATCTCTACGTTCACACTGCAGGCAAATCC